CAGGATCCTCACCTCGCTCCCCTCGATCCCGTCCCGCAGGATCCTCACCTCGCTCCCCTCGGTCCCGTCCCGCAGGATCCTCACCGCGCTCCCTTCGGCTTCCCCTTTGCTGCCTGTCGGTGTGCGGGCTGCTCCCCTTGGCCCGGAGGCCGCGGCCGCTCGCAGCGTGACCCGACACGGCTCTGCCGCTCCGCACATCCGGCGCCTCGACTCCGGCCCTGCCCACGAACGGCCGGGCTGAGCGCCCGGAGCCCCCCGGGCTCTGCGACGGCTCCTCTGAACAGCGTCGCTTAGGATGGTGGAGAGTTTCAGGCTTCTGAGTCAAGCTGATAAGGTCACTTCTATCCCAGAAACTCCCGCTTTAGTTAGAGCTATAGATGGGCTTTATTTTACCTCCAACCAAGACCCCTTAGGGGACAAAGAAATAGGATCTTCAGGATCCTTCCAATGCAGACAAGAGTGAAGCAGACCATTCCCTCACAAGAAGGTGAAAGAAACTGTCCATAAGTTGTACAGTCAGTCCCCTCTAGTCACAGGGATGCTCGCTTGTGGAAATCCCAGTAATTAGGATTTCCTAATTAGGACGATTCCTTGGGTGCCATCCTTGTCTAGCTTGTTTTCCAGTCCCCTGTCCCTCTACCTACCGGTCCATCCTTACTGCTGGATGTCACTGTCTCACAGGTATACAGCGTGACTGATTACTTTCACTTAAATTTCTCCATGCTGTTTCCTGTCCTGACCCCACAACCCCATATTTGCAGAACTACCTCATTATCCTCTGATCAAGCCTCAGTTTCTTTAAAGGTTCATATTTTCCCAAATACCTATGATAAGTGGGCAATATGTATGGCAACTTGGGATGATTTGCCAGTCACACTGAATAGGATTTTCTTATTGTTTTCCTGCACTCTCCATGTCTCTAGATCTGTTTGTGGTTTTTTGCCTAAAATTTGGGTTATAAACTCTTTGGAAACACAATATTGCAGATATATCCCTGTTCCATGTTTACATGCATTTTACACAGTGGAGCTGTGGTTCCTGAGCAGCATTTTTGGGGCTACAGTAGTAAAAATCATTGTTATCCACACTATGCTACCCAGTACTGCAAATCTGTTCAATGCTTTTAATTATAAATTCCTATTCTGGTTATTTATAACTTTGTGAATTTTTATGCTGGGTGTCTGCCTATGTTTCGATTTTTTTTGGAAAGTTTCAGCAGAAATGGTTATTCTATTTCCGAGAAAAAAGATTATGAAAAAAGACACTGTTTTGCCAATGTTAATGAATTGGTTGTAAGAATTCTTTTTTGGAAACACTAGCTACTCCATGCTTTGACTTGGAGGTTGGCAGCCTGGAGGCCTTCTGGTGCCAGACACATAAGCATTTGCCCATATTTGGCTGAGTTTTAAATCCCGTTTTTTAGTAATATGGTAGAGTTTGGCAGATAAATTCCTCAAAATTTCTGTCTGTCCTGAGCATGTGCTACCTTTTGCAGGTCAACTGCATTATCTCCACAGAGTAATTTATGCCTTCTGCATTCTTACCAACCCAGGACTTCCTTGCAGATGCTTTTGAAAGTTTCAGCAAGATGGTTTGTGACTGGTGTCTCCTGTGCCCACACACTGCCAGGTCCATAGAGAGCAAGAAATCATCTCTCTTCGGTCCTGGTGAGAAAAGACAAGATCTCAGATATATGTCCAGGGAGGACCAAGAGCTTAAGCTAGAAAAGCATGGGAGCTAGTGTGTTTTGTCAAAAAGAAAATAAAAGAATAAACTTGTTGATTAAGGAGACCATAATCTAAAATCAGTAAGAAAGAATGGGCTATATGAAAAACTGGAAAGACTGGCAATATCAGAACAAGGACAGGGATGAAGAAACTTCTGCTGACCACCTGCAAAGCCATAAAGAAGGATGAGTGCAAGGACACAGGTCACCTTTAGACACTGTAGGAATGAAGAGCCAGTTACAAAAGAAAGCAGAGCAGATAAGAAGTCAGTCTGGATGAAGAGAGACTTAGGGAGAGATGACTGAGCACCCTAAGGAGAGGATTAGGAATGGCAGTTTGTGAGAACTGGTTGAAGGAAAAGAAAGATTGAAACAAGAACCCCAGGTGATTAAAAAAGTGTGTGGAAAGCAGATTTAGTAGATACAGAACTAATTTGGAGAGGCTAGGTGCAGAGCCAGGATCATGTACACAGAAGAAAAGAACAATGACATTGGAAGAAAAAGCAGAAACAGGAGACTGTGGATGGGAACAGAAAGTTTAGTGTTATGTTGAATAATGTTTAAGTATGGGATTTCCCATGCAGAAAGACAGGAAAAAGAAGCTTTGTAATAAGAAAGGATTAGCGGGAATAAAGCAAAAAAGGTCATGAATGTGTCAAGGGAGAAAAGAAAAACAAGAAAGGAAAGCCTTGTAAATTGGTATATGTGATCTGTGACCATGAAGATTGAAATTACACCCAGTTGTTAGACTTGCTTTGTCTCCATGTAAAAAGTACCTGTGAAGTTCACTTTCAGACTGCCTCTCATGCTCCCTTAGAAAGCTGGCCCGCCCAGAGGGCGACTATCTGGTCTTACTTTCTCTGGGTGGAAAATTTAGCCCTGCCAATGGTCTGTCCATGCTGTCAATATGATTCCACATAGAGGAATAGAGAGGATTTTGCTGGCTTTTCGAAGGGCCTCAAAAGTTGCAAACAAC